TTATGAACCATCAAGCTAAAAGACAATATCAATTGAGTTCAAAGCTGAGTTTTGAGTTGATGGGTTGTCACACTTGTCACATGGTTGGAATAAAGTACTCACATGGAAGAGATAGATTGTTTTGTTACGCATAACCCATCTCATCTGAATGAAAATATACATACAATATAATCAAATCAAAACATACACACACAACAAATTTATACATAACAATGTTCAAATAATGTACCCACAAAAATAAAATTAATCTGATGAAAAAGGGTTACCTATAACAATGTTCAAATTCGCAACGCGAAATAAGCGTTGTGATAGTCAAATTCGCAATGCTTATTTCGCATTCGCAACGCGAAAGTCAAATTCGCGTCGCGATTTTCGCGTTGCGATATCGCATTGCGAATTTGACTTTTGCGTTGATCACAACATACAACATCAAGTTATATACAACATCAAACATATTCCAAGCTATAAATACAAGCTAAGGACACTTGAAGAAGCAAGAGAACAACTATCCAAGCAATCAAACACAAGAGAAAATCCCAACATGATAACAACTGAACATATCATAGCAATGTTCAAACTCAAGTTACTAATGAATGTCTAACTGAAAATGTATGCATTCACACATAAAATACACATAATACAACGTTTGCATTTAAAAATCACCTAAGTTAATAAGTCCCAAAAGGTGAAGCCGGTTGTGATTGCGATTTTGATTTCCTTTTGCTTGGCACCATATGAGCTTTGGATTTTGATGAGGATCTATTTTTTGGTAGAGAAAAAGATGATTGTGATAGCACTGGTGATCCACAGGTCAACCTTGTATGACCACTTTCCTTGCACCGACTACATGTCGATATCCTCTTCTCTTCACCCTTAGTCGGTATACGATCGTGATTTTTTGGTCGGCCAGGTAGCCTGCTGTTTATGACTGGTGGTAAAACTTTTTGTAAGTCATCTGGTATGTCCCACTCAGAAGGATGTGGACATGGGTAGACAATCTCAGTATAAGTCTGTCGATATACTTCTGTAGTGTAGCAATCCATACCGTATGCGCTTGAATCATCTTGGTTTAGATGAAGAGCAACTTTTATAACATGGCCACATGGATAACCAGATGTTTGCCATTTCTTACAACTACATGTCTTTGCATTTAGATCGACAAGCCCATTTAAGTTATTATCCAATACTTCAAACAAAGTGTTTGAACATGGTTCAACTCTCCATGACGTTAACTTCACAACACGTTTCGTTATCTTTTTTTCAGTCCATGGTGTAACACGATGTTCCAATGTTCCTGTAAATTTAAATAAATAATACTTAGTAAAATATATGATAAGTTACGAATTTAAAGAAATAATACCTGCATAGTTTCTTTTCTTGTAGTACCACTGTTGAATAGAGGCTCGAAAAAAACTCCATTAACATAGTAATGGGTAATTTTCAGGAATGACGACTTAGAGCGTTGATTGATTCTGCACTATTAGACGTCATGAAACCATATCTTGCTCCAAGTTGATGTACTCTTGACCATCTTTCAAACCCGACATCTTCTAGTGTTTGAGCACATTGAGGCAAAACACGTCTTAAACAATTTATATGCTTATTAAAATCCACTTCCCGATAAGCTTTTACAGCCTTCCAGTATGTCCATTTATGATTTTTTATACCAGCAGACCTTGATTTTAGATTTCTGTACAAATGAACACCACAAAGTCCATGAAAAGCATATGGGAAACACCTTCTAACAACGTTGTCAATTGAGTTTGCCCTATCAGATATGATTTTCAGATTGCTAATAGGACCTATGTAATCCCTAAGATGCCCCATAAACCATGTCCATGAATCAGAGGTTTCAGATTTGCCAACCCCGTAAGCTATTGGTAGTATCCCATTGTTAGCATCCATGGCTACTGATAATAAGTTTACTCCAAGGTATCGACCTTTCAAATGTGCTCTGTCAACTATAATAACTGGGCGCATGCAAGTAATAAACGAACGAATCTACAAAATCATATACACAATAAATATAATCATTTAAATGTGAAATGCATGCAACTAACAAAAATGAGACAACAAAATTATAATTATTTACTAACCGCAGCACCAATGGCGATAAACATCAACTCAAAGCGTCCATCTCTATCTGTTTTGATATGAGTTACAGACCCAAGATTTTTCAGCTTTAAATTGTGACAATAAGCCGACAGTTGGGCAAACGATGCTTCTGGCGACCCCCTCAACAATTCCAAGGCATAACATTTGACTCTCCAAGCTTGAGAATATGAGATACTAATCTTGAACCGAGCATTCATGTCAGTCATAATTTCATGTTCCCGATATACCCTTCCATTCAAAAACATTAACTCAGCCAGAAAACCACCCAACACCGTTTTGTTTGCCTGTCTATGGTGAGGAAAAACTTGGGTTCTTGAATATGTATGTTTATCAATAAAAGTCCTAACTTGAAACATTTCACAATCTTTTATCCTCTTTGTAATCATACGCCACGTACAGTTTTTGTCAATCATACACTTTGTTTCGAAATGATCTTTGCTTGATTTGTTAACTTTTAGTTGATAGCCATCTTCCACATATTTCGTATACAAAGCTATCTTCAAGTCTTCCTTTGCATCAAAACAATCATCTTTCTTGATACGAATAACTTTTGTGTAACAATCAACTGCTATCTTTACCAACTCTTCTTCCGGTATCTGAAGTAATTCTGCATATTACAGTTATACTCACGTGGCATTTTCTTATTTTTCTTTTCTTCGGGGACTTCTTCTTTTTTCTTCTTCTTCTTCAGGGTTATATGAATTATAGAATGAATGTTCAATATGTTCATTCACAGTCGTAACTTCATCCTCGTTATCATCAACAACATCTTCCTCAGCAGCGGCTGTTTCATTATCAAAATTCGGGTATTGACCAATATCAAAATCATTACATGCAAGGTCTGTTTCTTCTTCCATCACATCATCAAAATCCGAGTATTGACCAAGATCAAAGTCCGGGTATTGACCAAGATCAAATTTCGAATACTGACTAGTACTCACAATTTTTTCTGTTGGCTCATAATCGTCTAACTGGTCAATACGAAAACCGGAATTTGGTGCTGAAAGTTGATTGAGATTTGGATTAGGAAAAGGTTGTGGGTTTTGAGATTGTGTTTGATATTGTGTTTGTTATTGGAAATGTGGTTAAACAAAATTTTCTTGGTGATGAAATTGTGGTGGAACCATTAAATTTTGAGGTTGATAACAACGTTGTACATTGTGAGCACCATAAACTGGGGTTGAAGAACTTAGTTGATTACTACCCGCTACTGACCCAACTTCACTGCTTCTAGGTTCAACAACATACAATGTAACATCATCTTCTTGTAAAATACTAATGTAAGCAATGAATCGTTCAATATCTTCATTGTCGATTAACAAATAAACTTTACATTTTCTCTGATAAGATAGCCTAAATCCACTTAGAGGCTCTAAATTCAATTTCTTTGCAACACATAACATTAGAGTTTCATAAGTTAACTTTTTTAATGATAGTTTTAGTTGAAGATTCATGGGTAAAGGCACATATTGTAAAACACCATGAACATTCTCCCATGACCCTCCAAAACACAAATCTATCCAAACATGATCAACATTAGATGATTTCATTCTACAAATTGTAAATTAATTTACTAAACAAACGAGCTATAAACTAGATATCATCACTAACTTAGAGAAAAACATACCTTTATTAAGTTGATAGTTGATAATTTGGGAGAAAAATCATTGAAAAATTATATAGAAGTAAAATTATGTAAAAAAAATTAGAGATGAGGAAAGATGTCGTTGGATATAGGAACGAATGTCGCTGGAGAGAGTGATAGATGGAGATGAAATGAGTTGCGATTTAGGGATTTAGGTTATGAGTTGTTGCTGCTGCGTTGTTATATACCCAAAACATTTGTGTTGCGAAACTAAAACCTGTTGCGAAATTAAATTCGTGTTGCGAATTCGAAAATATAGTTGCGAATTTGAAATTCAGTTGCGAATTTGAAATTCCGCGTTGCGAATCTGACTTTTGTGTTGCGAATTTGACTATCGCGTTGCGAATTTGACTTCTGTGTTGCAATTTACAGATTCGCGTTGCGAAATTGGAAACTAGGTTGCGAAATTGGAGTTCGCGTTGCGAATTTGTTGGTCATTTTGGCAAATCCAAAAAAAGTTGGTTAAAATCGTATATTATAAGGCATTTTCGGTCACTGAGGTTATTTTCTCTTTAAATTATTCCCTATACTTTTTAATATTTTAAACTTAACCTCAAACTATGACTCTCATTCTAAATTGGTCATTAAACTTTTTGAATGTTCAAATAACATTCCCTAATATCATTCAAAAGTTTAGGATGAAATTAGAACATGGAAAAGTTTAGGGACCAACTTAGAATGAGTCATAATTTGAGGATGAATTTGGAATGTTTAAAAGTTTGGGATCAATTTAGAATGAGATTCATAATTTGAGGATGAAATTAAAATGTTTAAAAATTTAGGGTCCAATTTTAACCAAAAGATATAGTTTGAGGATGAATTTGGAATGTTTAGAAGTTTGGAATCGAGAGTATAATTTGAGGATGAAGTTAGACCGTTCAAAAGTTTGGGACCAATTTAAAAGGAAGGCCTACAGCTTTGGTGAACCGTAAGCAAATGGAAGTTGCAAAGATACGTATTCAAGTAGCCAGGCTGTAGGCATGGTGTACGAAAGTGCTGTCGCATATGAATTCCATTTCAGTTCATTTTAGAGGACCCCCAAAGCAGTAAGACTGAAATTGAGCAAATAATTGGGGTCAATTTCTTAAACATCAATTTGTTTCTCTATATGATCAAAATTCCTGAAACCCAAAACTTGAAAAGACAAGGCAAGTTCCAAAATTCCCTTTTTGCTGCTCGATAAGAATACAAGTCAACAACAACAACAATAAACGAAGGCTAAGAGAAAGCCAGGGGAAAAATGGCTTCAGACGTGCCTTGTTGTGGGGCTGAATTCTCATTGTATCTGTTGATAATAGTGGGATTGGTGTGTTTTGCTGGATTGATGGCTGGACTAACACTGGGTCTCATGTCTCTTGGCCTCGTCGACCTTGAAGTCCTCATGAAGTCTGGCCGTCCTCAAGATCGTATCCATGCCGGTATCCTTTTCCCTAAACCCCTTTTCTTTTTAGCTGAATAGTTTGGAGTTTTCTTGTTTTCATTGTGTTGGTAGTTGGTTTCTAGTATTTATTTTATTTTTGAAGAGCTGAGGATTAAGAGGGCAATTAACTTTCGGAACTGAATCGACTCGGTGAGTCCCGCCACTCTGCACGGTGTGGATGCAGAAGGGAGGAGGCTGGTTGCTGAATTTAGAGTCTTTTGATGGCTGTGTTTTGGTTTTGTTTTCTCTAAATTCTTTTGATTATTCTGTTTTCTGAAACAGCATGTAGTAATAATTAGTTTCATGGAGAATTGGATACCTAGTTAGGGTTTCAGTAACCATTTGAGCTGATCTTATTGTCTTATAGTTGATTTTTTTCATTACACGTGTTTTCAACAATCAGAGGTTTTCTCTTCTTTTCTTTTTTGGCAGCAAAGATATTTCCCGTGGTAAAAAACCAGCATCTTCTTCTGTGTACTCTGTTGATTGGAAACTCTATGGCAATGGAGGTTACTACTTACTACATAAATTATTCTTATCATTTCCCCTCTTCGATGTTGTTACTTTTTCACTTACTTCTTTCTTTCCATGTAGGCTCTTCCCATTTTTCTGGACAAGCTTGTGCCTCCATGGGCTGCAATTTTGGTATCAGTGACTCTGATCCTCATGTTTGGCGAGGTTGGTTGTTAACATATTGAACTAGCCATCTTTTTGAGGAAGTTGCAGTATTCTTGTTAATATGTGTTTATACATCTGACTGCAGATATTGCCACAAGCTGTCTGCACTCGTTACGGCTTGAAAGTTGGAGCTGCAATGGCACCTTTTGTCCGTGTTCTTCTTTTTCTTTTCTTTCCAATTTCTTATCCTATCAGCAAGGTATAGTCATTATATGGAATTTCTATTATTTTGTTGTGAATATTGGTATTTGCTGTACCATACCATCATGTGTTTTCTACAATTATTAGGCATGGTTGAAACAAAGATTGATAGTATTTTTTTCTTGAAAACATGTGTCATGTTTTATATTTTGTTACTCCTAATAAATACCATGTGCTTTCAGGTTTTGGACTGGATGTTGGGAAAGGGACACGCTGCCCTATTACGAAGAGCAGAGTTAAAGACTTTTGTAGATTTTCATGGCAATGAGGTATTGATTTTTGAAGTTTAGGACCTTGTAGCATTCTTTTCCAGAACTTGTATGAATTTGTACAAGGAACATCCGCCTTGTGGCTTATGTTTAACTATTTCATGCATTCCTTAGATTTTCTTTATCTGTCAGTACATGTATGCTTGTTTTAGGCTGGGAAAGGTGGGGATCTAACTCATGATGAGACAACTATCATTGCCGGGGCACTTGAAATGACTGAAAAGACTGCCAAAGTTGCCATGACGCCAATTTCAAATGCATTTTCCCTTGATCTGGATACAACTCTTGATTTGTGGGTTTGCAGATTCCTGCGTATTGCAACCATAGGATTTTACTACTACTTTTATGTTCTAAGTTGTTTTTGTGTCTTAATCTTTGCATTTCAGGGAAACATTGAATAAAGTAATGACAATGGGTCATAGCAGAGTTCCAGTTTATTGTGGAAACCCAACAAATATAATTGGACTTGTTCTGGTGTGGTTTTTTTTCCCTGTATAAATTATCATTTTATGATAGTTTCTTGTAGGGTACTTTATATTTATTTTCCATCCATTCATTTCTATTTCTTGGTCTTGCAATGTGATTCTGACCTCTCATTGTCCGAATTCAATTCATTTTTATTGTTTATAACTTTGAGAGATTAGTTAATGAATATGGTAAAACAATGGCAGTGAGTTGCAGTGGGATAACCGAGAGCTACTGATAATGAAAATGGTTCCTGGACTTAAAAGAAAATTCAAACAAGTATATGCATTAGTAATTTGAGATTGAGCTACAATTGCTTGTTTATTTTATCAAGAATTCCTTGGATTGAGAGAATATCGTGCTGCCCCTTTGGAGCTTTGCTGAATGCCATAATTATCATGTTAACCATGCTGGAGGCATCTAAAAAATGCCCCGTCATTTGCTTGCCTGCTCCTATATCTAGAAAACAGTTCATATATTGATTCTGTTTCCCAGCCTGCTCCTCTAATTTTTTATTTTTTTTGGGTCTAAAAGTGCTCCCAGCAAAGTCATTCTCCTAATTTTATTCTATAATATAACTACAAGTATATTCATTCTCCTCTCTTCCACATGGCTTAACTTTAGTTTCATTTTTCTGTTTTCATATCTTTAATTGTAGATTCTTCTTACTGGTCTGGCTTGAAATATGCAGGTTAAAAATCTTTTAACAATTGATTCAGAAGGTCCAGTTCCGCTGAGAAAAATAATCGTAAGAAAAATCCCACGGTATAGAATCTCCTTTTTGTTAACGTACATCTTTTAGTTTCTAAATACTTTGCAAAGGTATCCCCTTTGGGGTATCCTGAATCAGCTTGCAATTCATTCGGTTTATTGCTTTTGTTTTCCCTACTGCAAAGGAGCTCAATATATTATTCTATGCTTTCTATTCACCCTACAGGGTATCAGAGGACATGCCATTGTACGATATTCTTAATGAATTCCAAAAAGGTCACAGTCACATCGCTGTGGTATATAAGGATCTCAATAAGAGCAAGGAAAGACTTGAGTTTAAGGACAACTGCAAGACGCGAAGAGGCGAACCTGAGACATCTAGAAAAGGTGAGAACATATGTAATACAACAGAATAATTCTCTAAAAAATATTACTTTTCCCTTCTCTTTTATTTTTGTTCCATTGATTTCATGCACAACACTTACCACGAGTTTTTCTTAGAAATGCCGCCTTTAAGAAACAAGCCCTTGTCAGTTCTCACTAATTTTCCTTACTATCCACATTATTAACTAGATAAGAACTTGTCATGATTGATTCTGTAAGGTTGATCGAGCTTAGCTTCATTAGGTTGCCTGATCTGGTTCTTCTGCAGTAAATATAACCTGTCCTGATTTTCTTCCAGATGATCGTAAGATTGGTGTAAGTAACCAAAAGTCGGGGCTTAATTTGGACTCGCAAGATTTTAAGACATCTGTGACTAACAGTGATGGAGGTCAGCAGGCAAAAAAGAGTCCACCATCTACTCCTGCCTTTAAGAAGCGGCACAGAGGTTGTTCATACTGCATATTGGACATTAAAAATGGCCCTATTCCTGAATTCCCATCTCATGAAGAGGTAGTTGGTGTTATCACCATGGAGGATGTTATCGAAGAACTTCTTCAGGTAAATCTCTGAACCTTTGAATACAGTGTCGGTAATGCAAAGAATGTGGAATCCCACATTGAGTGGGAAAAGGTTTCCCGGTCTGGTTGTGACCTGATAGCGAGGAACAACAACTGCCATTATGGTTTATAGGAATTATATGCTAATTTCTTTCGTGACTCTTGCTTATGACAGGAGGAGATATTAGACGAGACAGATGAGTATGTCAACATCCACAACAGGTAAAATTTCACCATTTCTCCGAGTTCACCTGGTATTGTATCTTGTATTCTTGTTCAAGATTAAATACTTTCTTTTGTGAGAATGGAAAGATTGAAGTGTTTAGTCTAGCATGGATTGGTATTTAAATAACTTGACATTGTGTCCCACGCAAATGCAAGTAGTGGACTATAGTCAAGTAACACAGACATCATAGACGTCAAAATAATGACTTGAACAAATTCTTGACAATGCAGGATAAAGATTAACATGCATGCGTCTCAGGAAAATTTTCCAAGTTTGAGTTCAAAACAACCATTCACCAATTGCAGTGGCATCCCAACCCCTGTGTCACCATTGCCATCCGGACATTATCCTATACAATCCCCCGTGTCCCCCGACTTGGCAACCCCTGGTCCTGCTCCAACCCTTTCAGTAGCTGGTGGTACTTTGAATACAGGTTCACCTGCTGCAACACTTCAAGTTCTGGGAGAAGAATCGTTAAAGGATAGGTGAACCTTCAGCTTCTTTTCCCAACATGACATGATAGTTAAATGCATACTAAGAAATAAAAACATGATAGTTACTCTGGTAAGAACCAACGACCGACCCTACTGCTGTATTGTTGATAAGATACATGCGATCATATAGAGAACGGCTGCTTGTCTTTTGGTTTCTTGTCTATGAACTCATTTATAGACATCATCCCATATAGAATTAAAAAGATAGATCATGATTGTTGACTAAAGCCGGTTTGCAATCTTCTCAGTAAACCTATACACTTTCGAATAGAATAGGATGAAGGTGGCAAGTAGAATTGGAAGAAACATATATACTTGTCAAATTCATGTATCTAATGCAATGCGTATAGTGCAAACAATATACAAATGAATACAATGTTGTGTTTCTCCTTTCGTGTCTGCTGCTATGTAAACAAGAATACGATATTTGTATTAAACATGTGGTAATGGTTCATTTTCATTACACACCAATTCTGCATTTATTAAGATTACAAGAACATAAGTAGATTTAATGGTTGTAAAATTGGTTATAGATAAACTCTGGATCTGCATTCCCTTGGACATTATGAATATATGAATTGTTCTTTTGCCTACTTGTTATTTTGATGAAATTTTAAAATTCTCAAATTAAATGAAGCCAAAATATAAGTTAAAAAATAAAGACATTTCAAATTATATGTATATTATCTTATGTTTTAAAATTTATATAGTCCATCAATTTGATCTTAATTTTAAAAAAATAAACTTGATTAATGAAAATTTCTATCAAATTGTTTATAATTTTATTTTATATAACTTAAAAATTAATACGTTTATGAGATTCAGACGTTTTATATCATCTTATTGATAAAAATTAAAAAAATGAATTTAGGGAAGATCAAATGCAAGACCCAAGGAAAGGCAAACACTTAGCCTAACTATAAAATTGTTATATGATTGATAAAAAAAAGTAATATTTAGTTTAAATTATGGTTGGAACTAATTATCAAACAAAATGGGGATAAATTTAAGAAAAAGCAAACCTAAAACTTGAGATAACTCAATATTTAATCGTTGGGCTAAATTACGTAACTGCTATATGGTTAACAAAATTAATATTCAGATTAAATTGTAATGGAAATTAATTATATATATAAATGAATTACAAAAATATTTTAATAAATAATGAAGAAAGCAAAAATGCTAAAACAAAAGTTTCATATTTCATGTTTGATTGGTTATACACCTCGAGTTATGTCGATTCTTTAGGGAGTGAGTTTAGACTAATTTCTAGAGAATAAACAAAAAATTAAAATCGATGAGAGTTTGTTTATAACTCAAACTAAAACTAAAACCAAACAATAAAATTAAGAGATATCAAGAGTTGCTAAATCTCTAGTTAAAGAAAATTACAATATAGATTGATCATTTTTTTTTTGAATTGTAAAGGATGCTATTGCAAAGAAATACTAGATGTGGAGAAAAGCAGGATCATAGAGGCCACGTTGAAGAAGAGGTATAATCTCTTGAGGAGGTACTATGTAGGTCTGAGCTCTTTCATTAGTATCAGCGGTAGTTTTTGCAAGGAAATCTGCTGCAGCATTTGCTTCACGTCGAATGAGGATGAATTCAATTTTCCATTGCTTTGAGATGAGATTTGCAATAGAGCGAACAAGAGCTATTGGATTGCAGTTAGCCATTGGCGAAGAGACAAGTTTAAGAGCTTCGGCACTGTCGGTTTGACATTGAAGGCGTTCGATATTATGGGAAAGCGCCAAATGAAGTCCTTCTAAAATTCCCCAAAGTTCATCTTGAAGAGGTGTTGAAATTTCAACCGGTTTATTGAAACCAATGATCCAGTCACCATTCATATTCCTAATGAGGCCACCCACCGAGCCGTTTGAGGAAATTTTGTGAACCGCTCCATTCGTGTTAAGAGTAAACCAGTTTGGGGACGCTGTTTCCATTGTATAAGTTCTGGTCGAGCAGTAACGGGGTTTGATGGGGTAACAGTCTTGGCGTCGATGATATAGAGGGACCAATTTTTGCTTAGGCAGAGGAGTTGGTCATTTTGGATAAACGAATTCGAAAATATGAATGAATTACTTCTCTTCCAGATCTGCCAGGTTATGGAGGAGACAAGAACCTTCTATGGGATTTTTGTGCCTGCAAGAAGTCTGTTTGATTCAAGGTTCATCATGAGCCAATCGGATGTGTTAGTGGAGAAGAAGTTCGATAGGGGCTGCTGTTGGAGAATCAGTTGCCAAAGTGCTGCAGTGTGCTGACAGTCACGTAGTATATGTAGAGTATTTTCATTAGCTAAGCCACAGATTTGACATAAAGGATCATCCGTAAGCTTCTTTCCACAGCGATTGACGTTCGTAAGCAAACGATCTTTATATGAAAGCCATAGGAAAGTTTTAATGCGTTCCGGAATGGTCATACGCCAAAGCTTTGTCCATTTTACGTCTTTAGGTTCCAAAAGATCCTTGGTTATAAGATCATAAGCAGATTTTACAGTGAACTCACCTTGTTTTCCTTGAGCCCAGCAACATCGATCCTTACCAGCAGTTAGATTAGAAGGTTGAATATTCATTAGATACGACATTATGGAGGGCTGGAGAGACTGCCAGAGTATATTCCAGTTCCAATTACCGTTTGGCAAGGTAGCTTCATGGACTAACATGTTGTCTTCAATAGTAGCGTGCTCGTGTTTCCATTCTACAAGACGTCCAAGTTTGACATCCAATTGTCATGCCAAAATTTGGTCGTAGTTTCGTCGCCTATGGACCAAGATAAGAAGCTGTAGAAATTATTCCATACTTTGGATAAGGACCTCCATAAGTGAGAACAACTCGGCCGGAATATAGAGGTGGGACAGTTGGAGAGCACCTTATACTTTTGGCGAAGAAGCTTAATGTAATATTTCTTTGTATCTGAGGCAATGGCGTAACAAAGCTTCATATGTAAGGCAAAGCAATATTATGATGTCGAAGCTTTCGAATGCCGAGGCCCCCATTATGCTTGGGTTGAGTTAAGATGTCCCAATTAACAAGAGAAATGCCTCGATCTTGCTTACTAGAACTCCATATGAATTACCGAACTAATTTTTCAATATCCTGACAAACTCGAGAGGGGAAGCGGCAAGTTTGCATGAAATACGTTGGGATAGCCATGAGCACGAAGTTAGTAAGGGTAATCCTTCTCGCAAAAGATAAGGTTCTAGCCGACCACCCATGAAACTTTGATTTTATCTTATCAATAATGAAGCTGTAGAATTCGCATGTGGCTCGTTTGTGCATAACCGACATTCCAAGATAGACTCTCAAGTTATGAACTTGCTTGATGCCGAGATGGGAACAGACTGTATTTGCTGATTCTACACTTGTATTGGGCGAGAAGTAAATATGGGATTTGAGCTTGTTAACTTTGTGACTCGAGTAACGACCAAATTCCTCCAGGATATCGTCAATTAGGATTGCTTGCGCTGCAGTAGCTTTGGCATATAACACTAAGTCATCTGCAAAGAATAGATGAGTGATAGGAAGACCTCCACGTACTAGTTTAAATGGTTTCCAAGCGCCCTCTTCAGAGGCAAGGTGAATGCGATGTCCAAGTCTTTCCATGGTAAGGACAAAAAGGTAAGGAGAGATTGGATCTCCTTGCCTAATTTTGCATTGTGGTTTAAAAGAATTGCTAAGTCCTCCATTAAATTGAACCTGCATAGAAGAAGATGAGATGCAATGTAAAATGAGACGTATAGTTGCCAGTGGAAAACCTGCTTCATAAAGTGTATCGGCTATGAAGTCCCAACGAAGACGATCAAAAGCTTTTTCCAAGTCCACCTTTATCGCCATCCAACCTTCTTTGTCTTTCTTTGTTTGCATGGAGTGAATAACCTCCTGGTTAATAATAATATTTTCAGAGATGCTACGACCTTGAATAAAGCTAGTTTGGTTAGGCGCGACAAGTCGAGGCATAATTTGTTGGAGCCGCTTAACAGTAATCTTAGTGACCAATTTATATAAGACCGTACAAAGACTGATAGGTCGAAAATCTTTGAAGTTGGAAGGACTTGGGATTTTGGGAATGAGGGCAAGAATAGTTTTGTTCAATTGGAGGTCAATATTGTTACCACTGAAAATGCTTTGGATCGTAGAGCAGACCGAAGTGCCAACAATGTCCCAATATTTCTGAAAGAAGTGTGCATGCAGTCCATCAACTCCTGGAGATTTAAGAGGAGCCATGTCGAAAAGAGCTTCTTTCATTTCCAATGGATTTGGTAGTAATTCCATATTTTGCACTAACTCAGGAGGCAAAGTTGGGAAGTGCCCCGAAACAGGATAGGTTCCATGCACCTCATCATGAAGTGAAAATAATTTCTGGAAGTAAGAGCTAGCTTCTTTCCGAAGAGTATTAATATCTGAGCACCACTCTCCAGTTGAAATTTGAAGAGAATAAATTCGATTAGCCCTCCTGTTGATAATGTTTTTTTATGAAAATAAGCAGTGTTCCTGTCGCCAAATGATATCCAATTTGAACGAGATTTTTGCTTCCATAGTAGCTCCTATTGATCAAGGATTAATTCAAGTTCAGCTTGAAGTTTGGTCTCAAGATGTGAGAGATAAGAACTGTGTTTTTTATCAATATATCGTTGGATGCCTTTTAGTCGTCCCATAATATTGCGCTTGCGATGAAAAAGCTACCCAAATGTGTGGTGATTCCAATGTTGTGATGCGCTACTGAATTTAGAGATGGCATGCGTAATTGGGAGAGAAGAGTCCCAAATATCAAGCACAAGTTTATGGAAATCATTATGGAGAGTCCATCCCGCAAAGTATCGAAACTGACTTTGCTGCCGCTTATTAGAGCTTTTACCAATGGAAAGTAAGAGGGGTCTATGATCGGACTTCATTCTGAGGAGGTGGTAAACCAGTGTATCAGGATATGCAATAAGCCATTTATCATTACATAGACTTCGGTCTAGGCGAACAACACAAGGTCCTCTATACCAGGTGAAGTCGGGTCCTTGATAAGCAAGATCATGTAGACTTGAATCAAAGACAACATTACTGAAGTCTTGATCTGAGGATGGGATTTTAACACAACCTTTTCGATCATTTGGAGATAAAGAAACATTGAAATCGCCTAAGATAATCCAAGGCTCGGTAATATGGTTGGAGAGCAATTGGAGGTATGACCAAAGAGTTCTCCTTTGAGCAGAATTTGGACTTGCGTAAACAAAGGTGACAAGAGCGGAATGGTTGTTGGACTTACAGTGGATCCTGCAGTGAACAAATTGAAAGTGACTGAAAAGAACATCAACTTTAATGTGATCATACCAACAGATCCAAATACCTCTAGAAAAACCATCAGCTTCTACTCTAAAAGAGTTCGGAATTTTGTGTTTAGAAATAGCTTTGTCAGCAGCAGAACTGCTTATACGGGTTTCAACGAATCCGAAAATATCGGGTGAATGGTCTCGCATGTATTGTTGAGCAACACGATTGAAATTCTGGTGTCCACAACCTTGAGCTTTCCACATAAATATATTGAGATACATAAGTAAAAGGTAGTGTGGAGAGAGAAGGCAAAAGAGCTCATTATTATATCATAGTCCCGGTTTCTTTGCCAGTTGCAGGAGGCACTAGCGCTTCTGTTGGGATGCGAGGATTATCTCCATCTATTAGTTTCACAGCATGGTGCTTGTTCGGGTCAAGATTCTCAGCCAAGTTCAATCGTGGTGAATTGGAGGAAGAAACTCCATTAATTTCATTACGTGATCCTTGCATGGGGGCTTTGCTAACTGCATGCAATTTGGTGGGTTTACCTCCGAGATGAGCTTGCTTCTTGGGGCTGTTAGGGATAATTGGGGTTTTCTTTGGATTTGCTAGAGCCTTGTCCTTCAATTTTTTTTTTTATAGGAGTACTCATTGGTTCAGTCAATGGGCTAGGTTCAGCGTTTAAAGGCAATGCTGATGATGGAATCGTGGGTTCCGCTTCGGTCACCTTAGATTTTGGGTGATTTTCTTAATTATTAGGGACAACTTCAAAAATGGGATTTGATTTTGCTATGATGGGGCTGGAATCATGGACCAATTGCCTTGTAGGATTAACATTCCTTGAATTTTGTTTTTTCCTTTCTACGAGCATCCAAGGCCCGAATGCTTCATCTGAGGCTGAGTTGTCGGAAGTCAGAGGCTGCGCAGGAGGAACTTCAGTCATTGGTTGAACATCTTCCTGCGCTGGTAGTTGTGGATAAATGTCCTTGTGGTGACCGTATATGCCACAATAAAAACAAACAGTGGGAAGTGATTCGTACTCTATAATTTGAAGGTGGCCATTGATAAGGAGTTTGGATACTAAAGGTCGATGAAGATTGAGGCTAACGGCTAGGCGCGTAAATCGCCCCCTACAACCATTATCCGTTTGGAAATCAATTTTGATCACAGAGCCAACCTGATTTCCAATTGCTTCAATGAAACTCCTTTTGTATAGAGTTACTGGGAGACCTGACAATCGAATCCATGCCATGAGACGGCTAAGATAATCTTGATTCGACTGAAAGTCAATAGACCATGGCTCAACTGTTAAGTAATGCCCGAAGATAGTCCAAGGTCCTTCTGTGAGTACCTGTAAATAGTCACCATAATTGCTGAACTTCACAATGAAGTAGTCGTTCTCAATGTCTATGAGTTTGAGAGGGAAAGAAGGCTTCTAAATCTCGTATATGTGGTTGTGTAGGGTATTGTAACCCACTCTTCGACCGAGCACTTTAACTATGAGTGTTAAATCCATGCTTTTAATGGCAAGAGATTGGACTCGTTCGGAAAAATCTATGGTTGGGACCCCATTAGAGGAGCCAAGGGTGATATCCTCTTCAAGTAGTTCGATATCATCATCATCAAGATCAATCGTTTTTGAATCCGGTTGGGCAACACTGGATTTTGTCATGGCGTCCTTATAA